CAGGGCACAGAGGGCCTCATAAGCCAAGTAATAAGCAGTTGAACTTCCTCATATAGCAATGGAGAGCCATGTTTAAGAGGACACACACTTTGATGAGGAAAGTATTTGGGTTACATTTTAAGAAGGTTGTGGGTTGGGGTCCAGAGTAGGCAAATGGAGACTAGGATAGAAAGTCAAGATATCCCTGTGGTAGAAGTGATGAGAGGGTCATCTACAGTACAGGGAAGGGAAGAGAGAACAATATCTAGAACAGGGGTTTTTGACCTTAGCTGTACTGACATTTTGTGCCAGATATTTCTTTGCTGTGGGGGGGTTGTGCTGCACACTGTAGGATGTTTAGTAGCATCCTCAGCCTCTATCCATCAGATGCCAAGAGCAAGTGCCCTTACAGCTGTGATTAAACAGAAATGTTTTCTGCAGGACAAAATTGCCCCCAGTTGAGATCCACTGGTTTAGACATGCTGGTATTAAACCAGAATCAAATGGACTTGGATGTGTGCAGAAGGCAGGGAAGAGTTAACTTTAGGGTTTCTACATTGACAAACTAGGTGCGAAATAGAGAAGAAGTAGACCTGGGAAGAAACAGAACAGGTTTGATTCTGAACATGTTAAATTTCAGATACTTGTGGGACATCCTAATAAACACCAAGAAGAAGTTGGATGGATGGGTCTGTGCTCAGAGGAGAGTTCTCAGCTGGAAATTCAGATTTGGGAATTATCTGCATATACACAGATGGAATGGGAGTGGATGGGATCACAATGGGAGTGAATGGGATCACTCAGGGAGACTCAAGGAGTGAGATGAGGACCAGGGGAGAACTCTATGGACAACCAAGAGTTAAGGGTGGTAGAGAAATGTTTAAATCACGATTTAATTCTTGGAAATGAAAGGGAAGATAAAAGAAAAGCATGTATCACTATGTCCTTTCTATTCAGTCATGAAGACCTTGATATTCTCTTTGACCCAAGTGGAGGGTAAAATTTCTAAAAAATAGTGTGTGGGGGGAAATCAGGGACATTTGTACAAGATGGTTAATTCTCTCATTACAAAGAGTCTCAAACACAATATTTGTTGAGTTTATTTTCTCTTTATGCTTTAAGTGCAAAACAAGACCAAACCTTAAAGAGTCACCTAATTCTATTATGATAAATGAATACTTAGAAATGCAAGGCTAAATTGGGAAATCCATTATTCATTTGTTAGCAGTGTTGTTTCACTACCTTGTCATCAATGTTCGGACACAGTAATGCAGTTGAAGGCTCAAGGAAAATAAAGGAGCTTTATATAAAGACATAGTCTTTAGCCTTTGATGAGGTTCTACAGTGATAATTCTAGAAAAAGTAAAATGTCATGAAGCAATGGACAAAAAACTTATGGGATAGAAAGCAAACCCAATAAGAAGAAATAGTACCATTCTGGCAGGAAGTAGGAAGAGAATTTCCCATTGGAGACAACATTTTCCAGTCACAAAGCTAATTGCCTACAATGCCAATTATGATGAAAGGCCTTAGACTAGGGCAGTAGCTGTCAGAAAGGAACTCCATATTGAAAAGACCACCAAATGCTTTGGGTAAATAAGTGCCTACCTGAGTGTAAGTTAAGACACCCTTGTGAGAAACCCCACCTCTTCAGGCCAGCATGTGCCACCAGAGGTCCACTCCCCACAAGGCTGCATGGCTTCCAAAGGGTCTTAAGACCACACTGCACACCTATTCAAAGTGCAACTTCCACACACTGTGGGGTTCTGTGTGTGTGTTGAGATACAAACCGAATAATGGTCTTGTAATTACTTTCCCATCTCACTCCTTTGTCAGAGTATTTTCCAGTATTCTATCCAACACAGGACCCTATACTTGCCTGATTTCCACAGGGATTGCTGGACTGCCTTCCTGATTCCAGCCTTTCTGTCAACCTTTTCTCTCCCCCCTTTGCCAACATTAGAAAAGAAGTTAACAAATGGATCTAATTACCACAGTGGTTTGCGGCTTCTCAACTTTTTTTCTCCCTTCCAGCTGTAAAGATGTCCTCAGACCGAGCTTCACATTCAGAACTGCTGTCAAACTCTCCTTTAATGGGCACTTAAATTTAATGTCAAGCTGATGCCTGTGGAAGACCTTGATTAAATTTGCAAACAGTAGACTCTAACCAAACCAGAACTTGAGAGTTGTCTCATTTTGCCTTTCAAGTTTAAATCCCAGAAGCTTTCTTTTCTTCTATGCAAAGAATTACAGAAGTTTGCTTGCAAAGACCCTAAGTATCAATAAGACAGCAAAGTGTAACAAGCAAAACACCCTGCATGCTTTTAGAGAAGCAATCCCTCAGCTTATTAAAATTCTATGTGAGCTAAAGATCTTTCCCATTGTTTTATTCCATTCCCAGCTCATTCAAAATCTATAACTATTCACGTTATGACTCTATAATATTATAAGCAGTCCTAAAAAGTTTACTTAAATTCTTCCTAGTGTTCTTTTAAGCACATGGCAATTAAGAGTTTCGTACTGTATGGGCAGAGTGAAAAACATTATGGAGAAACAACATGAAAGAAAATATGATATACTCTCTACTAACAATGTCATTGCTTCCTCCAGCTACAAATTTCCCAACCTAGTTCCTTTCTTCTGCTGTTTCTTCTTTCTTCTCTGATAACCATACAGTCTCTCTTCCTAGAAGAGATAATAAAAGACTAAAAGTTAAAAGATCTAGAAGACTCATATTCTTTTTTCCTGGCTACTGTTTTGAAAAGAGACTGTTGGTTTTTTATTTTTCTTTCAGGTTCTTCCTACATCATCCAATTCAAACAGGTCTGCTCTCAAAGAAAACAAATCAAAATTGTCAAGACCTGTGAAGCATGAAAAATAAATTGCTTTTTCTAACTCCAAAAAGTAACAGAAAAGCATTAATTTCTATCTTCTTTTATAAACTCCTATCCCCTCTAATCTACAGACTTCACAAAATGTTTATGTGTTCTTCTGTATAATACATGACAGGAGATCAAAACTTATTACAAAAAAATTGAACCTGTAATGCAACTAATATTTAAACCAGTGTTATTTTAGAGTTTGACTAGACACAAATAAAACATTCGAGTAGGATGGCACAAATTCTTGGAGCTACCAGTATAAATAGTCCACTAAGACTCATCGACCATGCTGTTAATGGCTCTGTCCTTTAGCTGGTGGAAGCACAGGCTTCATAAAAGGTGTATAACATGAGGCAGCAGAAAAGACAGCCTTGAAAATGTAGCCAGATACGAAATGTTCTGTCATAAGATTTCTCATTGAACTACAGCAATGAGAGTGCTTCTAGTATTTCCCTTCTTTTAATACAACAGGGACCTACATTTCTAAGCTTGGCTTTCTAAAGCTAAATTAATTCTGTGGTGAAAACAGCTCCATATAGCACTGTTCTTAATAATTTTTTAAAACATAAAGAACTTGTGGTTTGCAGTTCATGGATAATGGGGTAGGCAATCATCAGATTCCTGTTGAGAATCACAGATGATGAAAGGAGTAGCAGATGGTTTCAGAAGGGAGAGATTTATAGGGGTAATTTGTAGTGGAATAATACTGTTTTCTGAACTAGGTAATAATAATTCACCAAGACAAGTAAAAGTTCAGATAGTATCTCATTTAATTATATGTTACTACACTCTGCAAGAACTCTTTGACTCAGAAGCCTAAAATAAAAACTCGATTAGTTGACATTTTTAGGTTGTGATGATTTGATCCTGTTTAAATCCTTTCACACTGATGCAGTTTATCACAGGATTAAAAATGTGGTGCTTTTAACAGTCAAATTTCAATTTAGTTAGTATCTGATTCAAAGGATCAAGGAAAAGTCCCTCTTTCCCAGGAAAAGAGGACAGGAATAGACTAATATTTTTCACATATTCCAAGGTCATAGGTGAGGAAGAGCTGTGTTTCACACTGGGTTACCTGAGAGCCCCAAATCCTCTGAGTGAGGGGACATTTTTAGGTTGTGATGATTTGAAGAGGAAATCAGTCAGTTAGATGCAGGCATGCTCAGTGACACTGCTCTGCTAGGCCCACGGCACCAGGAACCATCCACCCCTGAGCTCCTTGCCAGACGTAGGTGGAGGGCGTGGCCTTGACCTCAGACATTTGTAACCATCACAACATTCACTAAGTGCTATTGCTGGTGCTGACAGGAGGGAATTGTTACAAATATCAGCATATTCATTGCTGGAGTTCATGAATTTACCAAACCTATTTGGTACTTCACAGAATCCACAGAAGTAATAAGGTATGGAAGTCGGAGGGAGGAATAAATAAGTACTTTAGACATACAACCTTCTTGTTTTAGTAATTGTCTCTTCCTCATGAACTTGCCCCAGAGTAAATGAAAAGTGACAGCAGATAAGTGCTATTATTTTACATAACAAAGTCCTATTCCTTGGTAAATATAACTGGCTACACTCATTCTGTTTCTTTTTTTTTTTTTTTGAGTTGGAGTCTCACTCTGTCGCCCAGACTGGAGTACAGTGGCCGCTCCCAGCCACCGCAGCCTCAACCTGCTGGGCTCCGGCGATCGTTCCGCCTCAGCCTTCCAAGTAGCTGGAACTACAGGCGTGTACTACCACACCCGGCTAATTTTTTTTGATTTATTGTAGAGATGAGGTCTCGCCAAGTTGCCCAGGTGGGTCTCGAACCCACGGGCTCAGGTCATTCACTCACCTCAGCCTCCCAAGGCGCGGGATTACAGGCTGAGCCACCGAGCCCGGCTCATTCTGTTTCTTTTAATTTCAAAGTCACAATTCATCTCAGTAGAGTTTGCTGCCACTTAAAGGGGCCAAGGTTCTCTTTGCTGATGTAGAATAACCACAAATAGGCCAACTCAAAACAAAAAAGGAAGAAATAGTTTAACTGGTTAACAGTTTAGCAGGTCATCATGGTGATTAGCAGTGTGTTGGATATTCCAAAGTAACACTTTGGAATCTGTTGTGACATAGTAAGACTCTTCCAATTATACACAGGTACAGTTATGTACATTTTTATATTTATTAACAAAAATGGTTCAGAAAAGGATTGGATCAAAATCAAAAGATGATAAGGAGTTAAAAGTTGTTTTCAACTGTATTGTTTCTGGGGGACATTAACCAGTCCAGAAAACTGTTAGGACTTGAATCATGAGTGATAAATTTAATAGAAACTTTTCCTCTATTCTTTTGTCAAAGCAAAGTACATTGAAGGTCTATGTTTTTACCTGCAAGCCTGCTTTCCTAATAAGCCCATGAATGGAATGAGATGGAATGAAGCGAGAAGGTAAACAAAAAGGCTAAAAATGAGAAAGGCAACATCTTAAAAATAGGAACTGAAGGCCAGTGAAAAAAGGGTTACTAAACTCTCAGGAATCAATCACTGAAGTAATCTTCTAGTCCCTCCATATCCATTTCCAGAGAGGAGTTTAAGGAGGCCAGGGCAGATGATGCATTCTTGGTTTTCTGAATACTTGGTTTGGGTTGAGGAGTTTCTGGTTGGACAGATTCCTTCTTGACGTCTTTACCACCATTTAGAATACGTTGACTCTCACAAAAGAACTGATTAGGATGATTCAAAGAAAAGCCACAGTCATCCACCTATACAAGGAAGCAAATTTATATTAGTATACAGCAAAGCTATAAATACAGGAGTTTCAAAAACTGTCCCAGCTTTCTTTCAAAACTTAATACCTGAAACACAGATTGAGCTGTTCTCATTAATGACATTTAATCCACTACTTAACACTGTTTCATTCAGAGGGAGCTTTGAGTACAGTACTACCCAAACATTACTGGTCCTGATTTTATATCTTCAGCTCAATGCTCTGCACTTGGCTCCAGTTCCCAGCCCAGCTCTACCTCCATATCTAACACCTGTTCAACAGCTAGGCCTGCTTGAAGGCAGCTCAAACTCCAGTTGAAACTTACCCAATCCCCTTACCTCTGCACTTTGCTCTCGGTGACTGGCATCAGCATCCCTCCTTGAGGCATACTAGACAATTTTTCTCACCTCCCACCTCCCACCCTTACTAGGCCCTCAACTCTGGCAATACCCAAACCATTACCAAATTGGATTGATGAGTACCTCAAAATAAGAAACTGAAAAAAGGTAGTAGGAAATGTGTCTGGAAAACAAACTTGGGTGTGTGTGTGCACATGCATGCCACATTGTGTAGTAGGGACCTGAGTGACTCATTATAGCATCCCCAGTTCCAAGCAAAAGGCCTAGCACATTGTAGACCAATAAATAATTTTTTCTTTTAGAAAAAGTGATCTTAAAACCACTTTTGATTATTTTGCTACTTGTCCCTGATACCACTTGTATTTTAGAGCTTATTTGTAAGTCTGGCATATGTAATCTCACTTAGTATAATATAAACTCTGAAAAAGCAACCTAATTCCATGTAATTTCTTCATTCTGATTTTTGGGCTTTCCCTGGTCTGACTTTTTATAGAAAACCTTTTTTTTTTCTCTTGTAATTTTCACTATTGACTGCCTACAAACATGTCTATGTTCATAGTTTATGCTATTTCTTTTCTCACATACTATCACTAAACTCTCATTTTGAATATCAATTCAAATTACACATTACAGTAATCTCCCCTTATCTACAGGGTTATTTTCCACAGTTTCAAATCCCTGCCTTCCTGCCTTCTGCAGCTGAAGTTGACAACAAAAATACCATTCTGCGTAAGTCAGTTACTTTGTTTTTCTTTTGGTGGTATTGTCACCTGATTTTTTTTGGAAACTGAGAAGTCATTAAACTTTTTTCATTCATCTGTCTTGCATTTATCAACCTTTTCCATCTCACTCTTTGTACTGAAGTGATTTGCACATACATTGTAGGTATCTAATAAATATTTGGTGAGTTGAGCCCAGAAATAGCCAGCGTATACCAATCACACATTTCACATACTAATCGAAGACTTCCTATGTGCCGGACTGTGTTATAAGTTAGTAAGTTTCCAGCACACAAAAATGCATTTGACTAAGACTAACTCAAGATATTTCCAACCCAGTAAGTCACATACTTAAAAACCTCTATCAAGAATGCAGAAGTGACATGGGTCACAGATAAAGGCCTGTTACACTCCACAGTGGAGAGAAATTCCAGCTGGGGAGATCAAGCCAGGCTTTGTTAGGGAAGTGCTTTTTGAGTTGGGTCTGGAGACATGGAGAGAGTGGAAAGCTGGGATAATGAGGGAAAGGGCATTACGAGCAGCAGGGACCCGGGAGCAGGGCACAGAGGAAACATCCCAGGAAGGCCCGCAGTGCATGGAGACTGGCGTCTATGGCATATGAAAAGGAATAAGGAGTGAAGTTGGAAAGCCAGGCAGGGACCATACCTCAGAGAGCCTTTAAAACTAGGGTGAGTGGTCTAGACCGAATTCTCTGGGCACCCGAGAGTCACTAAAAACCCTTAAAAGGGAGGTGGTGTAATTTAGAGCTATGCATAATCTTACGGGAGATTAAGATGAGTTAGCAAGGGGAAAAGGGATTGCTGCTACAATCTAGGATGAACCCTCCTGGTGGGGGGAACAATCAACAGAAACAGTCTTTTCTGGCAATGCTTCCTTAAGCACCCCAGGATTCTCTGATTTTGTTTATTCAGTAATTAATACATGTTATGCCAATAATTTTACAGTAACTTCAGTGTGTAATAGATTGATAGTATATAAACTGATTTTAAGAGTTATAGAGCACTAAGAACAAATTTTTATCTCTTTTTTAAACTTGACTGCTTAATTTCAATTTTTAAAAATGCTTTATGATACACTTATAATTTGTATTAACAATGAAGTAATTTGTGAACTTCTTTATTATATTCAATTTTCATCAAATTCATTGAAAACTGGGAGATCCAATATAAACTTTGCATTTTGCAACATGTTTCACAAAAAGTGAGTTTATTGCCTAGAACTTTTCAATCATAAGGCTTTGCAGTCTATAAACAGAAAATTCGAGATTTGAAGAAACTTTAAGATCCGTGAAACTGAACCTCCTCCATGTGCAGATTAGGAAACTGAGGCCTAGAAAGAATACATGATTTACTCAAAGTCACAGAACTAACTGGATTTGTCTGAATTAAAATCAGGTCTTGGCCAGGCGCGGTGGCTCAAGCCTGTAATCCCAGCACTTTGGGAGGCTAAGGTGAGGGGAATGCCTGAGCCCACAGGTTCAAGAATAGCCCAGGCAACCTGGTGAGACCTCATCTTTACAATAAATAAAAAAATTAGCCGAGCATGGTAGAGCACACCTGTAGTTCTGGCTACTTGGAAGGCTGAGGTGGAAGGATCACCTGAGTCCAGCAGGTCGATGGAGGGTAGCAGTGAGCATGCTACTGCACTCCAGACTGGGCAACAGAGTGAGACTCCGACTCAAAAAATAAAATAAAATAAAATAAAATTCAGGTCTTTTAACTTAGGTCATTTAGTTGCTCTGAAATCTGTTTTAAGAGGATTTATGCAAAGTCAAACTGATAATGATATCTTCAATATTATTTCTAGAGCTGAATTTGGCTATAAAGATGATAAATACATAGTGGTATCATTTCATGAAAAAAGAATCCAAAATCTTGGGTTATAATAACATAGGGGATTTTTCTTTTCTCTCTCTTTTTTTTTTTTTTTTTTTTTTTTGAGTCAGAGTCTCACTTTGTTGCCCAGGCTGGAAGTACAGCATGCCCTTGGCTATTGTGGTCTCAACCTGCTGGGCTCAGGTGATCCTTCCACCTCAGTCTGTCAAGTAGCTGGAACCAGAGGCATGCACCACCATGCCTGGGTAATTTTTTTAGATTTATTGTAGAGACGAGGCCTCACAAAATTGCCCAGGTTGGTCTCAAACCCTGGGGGTCTGGCAATCCTCTTGCCTCTGCCTCCCAAAGTGCTGGGATTACAAGTGTGAGCCACCATGACCCACCAATAACAGGGATTTTTCTATACCTTGCTTCAAGTTGTTAAAGTTTTCAATATATTTATCATCACAGAAGATGACTTTGAATTAAACTGAACTATTAGACTTCAATGTGGACAAAATGTAATATGTTATCTTTATACATATCAGTTTCCTCATCTCTTGAGATGGAGATAATAGTGTTAGGTCATAGGGTTGCTACGAAGAAAACCAAAGAAATACGAATGTAAAAGCAAGAGTTGTCAGTTCTATGAAATCTAAATTAAATGTTTTAGAAAGTCTCAAAGGCAAATCACTTTAAAGAAAAGTTGAATTTTCAGGACAGGGAGAAAGATCACATTGCTTTGTATGTGTCATTAAGTTTTTTCCCCACTTTAAAGAAACCCAATCTGGAAATTGTTGATGATGTATTATGGGTATGGCTTATGAAAGACAGATGAAATAAAATTCCTGTCACTAAACTATACTCAAACAAAAGACTTTGTCCTTACATCAAAAGATTAACAAACAAATGGGATTTAAATATCTGAACTTTAAAAAATATTTAAGGTTTGTGCATACTTTTATGAATCCCACTTTAATCAATATTTTTAACTAACCAACTAAAACAGTGCCAAGAGCCTAAAATGAGGGTTTGTGCCACAGCTCTGTGTGGTGATGTTTCTCAACTTTCCCTTTTCAATTTGCAATGATCCTTCTCAACTCATTTTGTTAATCTCATTGTGCTCTAGTATGCTGCTTGATAGCAAAATGGAATTATGAAGAGTTTCCTTCTTTTTACTAAATTATATTATCTTCTGGGATGGGTTCTTTGTGCTTTGAGTATTTTTTTCACTTTTATTTCTGAAGGAAGTGTTTATGATTGCCATTCAGTTTCCTTTCATCTTTACTCAGGGAGATAAACTTAGGGCTTTTTGTGTGTGTGTGTGCCAGGGAAGAGCTTAATCTAAACAGAATGGCAAAAGGTCTTACTTTAAAATCAAATTAGGGAAAAGAGAACGAGAGGTATCCATATCTAAGTCCCCCATTTCACATATTTCTGCCCAAGAACTAGCAGTCATTTCCTTTACTCCTCACTTGGAAATTTAAGTATTTTCATGATTTCATCTACTGTAAATCTTGTTTCTTTCCTTGTCCCCTTTCTTTTTGGTTGCTATTGGTGATGTTTTTCTTTGTGGTGGATGTCTCTGTACAATGTTTTGTACATTTTTTTAGGAAGCAGGAGAGGAAAATTCAGTGATGCATTTTCATTCTGCCATATTAGCTTGGAAGATCTAAAGTACTGCAAAGAATCTGAAACAAGATCAGTAGCATTGGGGTCTAGAGGAAAAGGCTTGGAAAGAAGGTCTTTAGAGGTTACGTTATACATTTTAGATTTCATCTTAAGAGAAAAGGGAAGCCACAGAGGTTTTTAAAAAGTAGGCTACTAAAATGATCAGATTCCTCTGTTTTAAGTCACTCCAGCAGCTGTATGGAGGAGAAAGAATTGGAATGGGCCTAAGAAGGGAGTTAGGAAGCTCTTACAGTGATCCAAGTGAGAGAGGATGGTGGCTCCTAGTCCAGCATTCTGATCGATATCCATAATGATGACCCTAAGTTATTATAAAAAGGCTTAATTGTATTTCATATATCCTGTTAAGGATTGCAGAAAAATATGTGATAGGTTTTAATACGATTTCTGTAGAGATTTATATGGTGGGGAAAAATTATGCTTGGCTATTTGGAAAATAAGTAGCTATAATTACTCAATGTCCAAAGAAGTCTATTTCTGAAAACATGATTTTCAATTAAATTCAAAGATTAATCTACACAAGACCTAATGTTTTCATTTATACATGGAGCACGCAGAAAGTATATACTATAGTATAAAATTATTTTAAACACCAATTCCTAAAAATACTGAGGAAAACAGGTTTTAAAGAGGCCAGCTTTTTGACATCCACTGAAGGAGTAGCGCTCAAACATTTGCTTGGAATCAGCACATTTTGCATACAATGACCTTCACACAAACGTGGGTCTCATATTTCTGCCACTGCAAATGTAGATTTTAAGGAATGAAAGCAATATTGTTTTACCTATGGGATATTTGGGTTTTAATCAAGAGGTTTTGCAATGACAGCTTATAATGAGGCAGCTGGTATTACCAAAAAAGCCATATGGAACTATCATAGTGCTGCTGCAAATGGTATCAATTAACTGGTTCATTTTCAAAACTTTCATTTAAGTGAGTTTGATCACAGAGGCCTCAGGAAAATAAACATAGAGTTTTATTTGGGAGAAGGGGGGCAGGATGGCAGAAACCTGGCAATAAAAATAGATTCCGTTTTTAAATTAGATTAGAAAAAAATAATAAATGGAGGATATTCACGTCTGAAAATCCATAACGAGAAATCTTATGAATACAAACAGCCTTTTTATTTTGTTGATTTAGATGTGGTTTAAGTTAGACTACTTTGGCATGTGAGAGGATTAGGTACATATCTCTCTAATAACTTCATTAAGTCAAAGGCAGGTTTTAGAAATTGACAATAGTAGCAATACTCTTGTGGGAATAATCAATAGAAGAGATACCACAAAAAAATTTCACAAACTCTCAAAGTTTAAGTCTAATTTTCATATCTTTTTTTCTTTTTGAGTCAGGGTCTGCCCTCTGCCATCCGGGCTGGAGTACAGTGGGGTGATCACGGCTCACCATAGCCTTGACTTTCTGGGTTCAGGCAATCCTTCTGCCTCAGCCTCTTGAGTAGCTTGAAAGTAAGGTGTACATGCCATCATGCCCAGCCAATTTTTAAATTTTTTGTAGAGATGAAGTCTCACTATGTTGCCTAGGCTGGTCTTGAACACCTGGGATCAAGCAATCCTCTCACTTCTGCACCTGGCCTATACCTTATTTTTTTTTTTAAAAGGAAAGAGGTAGGATAATGGACCTGCACTTGTGAAAGTTCTGAGGTCTTCTGATTAAGAGGGTCTACAAATGATTAAGAATGTATATGAAATTAAAACTCTCACGCAATTAAGGAATGGACTCTTCGATAGGGTGAGTCATACAGAATTGCCACTGAAAATACCAAAGGTGGATTATCTGGTGAGATTTCTGGTGGGATAAAACAAATGAAATTTGTTGTTGCTTACTATTTTCTTGATGTTTAGTCCTTTAGATTTTGTAAAAAATAAATTGCTCTAAAATAAGAGTTATATTTGCAAAAGTTAGATGTAAATAGAAGAAAGCAGACTGTACCCACAGCAGACCCGAGCTGTAGCTCCAGACCTTCCATCAAAGTGTGGTATGCAGGGGAAGTCACTTAGTTGCTAGTCCTCACTTTTCTGTATAGTTGGATCAAATGGCCTCTAATGTCCCTCCATGTTTACTATTCGATGAATCTAAACAGGAAAATACTAATCACCTCCTTAGTAACTTAAAATCCAGTAACAAATACCAAAAACCAGCATGGTTAGGTTCAACAAGCATTAAATGAGTTAGCCTGGGTTCAAATCCAGGTTCTTTCCCCTAGACGTCATGGGACCTTACACAAGTTCTCAGTTTCTCTAAGTTTATTCATAAACAGGATATATATATATATATATATGGTACCTTGATATAGTGTGGATCAAAAGAGTTAGTGCATTCAAAGAATTTAGTGCTGTGCTTGGTGTGCATTAAAAGGTTCTATAGATATTGGTTAGTATTAATATTATTACTTTAATTATTTTTGATATTATACAATATATTTTTCCTATGAAATATTTTACCAAGTAAGAAATTCTGCAAGTATATGACATAACAGAAAAATTACTTTGTGACAACTAAACAGAAAACATAAAAATAATTCTAAAACTTAGCATGGGAGCTAATGACAAATTCAATAAATGCATTTATAACATTTTTGGGGGGTGCATCACGGTTCCTTGACAAATATCATGGACTCCAGAAAAATGCACATATGGACCTCTAAGTCCATTCTTGGGTGTCTATCCCGAGTTGGAATCCATGTTTGGGATCAGCGGTTCCAAATCAGGGGTCAGTGGGCTGAATTTGTCCTGTAGGGGGTATTCTGTTAGCCTGCACAGGGCCTTAAAAGGTGTCACTGTGAATGCCTCTAGCAGGGCATAAACTCTTCAGTGCACCAGAGTTCTACTGTACTCTCTGGTATTAATCTCAGCCAGTTCTTCTTTTTTGGGTTATTTGCCTGATCTCTGTAGGCCTCTGAGTTTGTATCCTTGGCTTTATACATTTGAGAATCTACTCTGTGAGCGACTGGGTCATTCCATACTCACTCCAAAAACCTAATCACTCCAATAACCCAGCAGGACTTTCTGTACTAAGGAGGCTGGCAGGATAAAAACCAAACACACTTTCCTGATTCCCTTACAGGTAGGGGTTCACATGTACCGTAGGTCCTGCCATGCAGAAAAACATGAGACTTGGGAAATTGACTCGAGTCATATCAGGGGGCAGCCACAGTTACAGGTAGAAGGATTATATTTTCTGCATGAAAATGGCAAAAGTTTTTGGTTGTTCTGGGCAGCTGTGGCAAAGGTTCTCAATCTAGTCCAGGGATTGGCAAACTAAAGCCTGTGGCTCGAATCTGGCCCACTGCCAGTTTTTATGAATAAATTATACTGGATCACAGCCATAACTGCTCACTTATTTATGGCTGCTTTTACACAACAGCAGAATTGAGTAGTTGTGACAAAGACCATATGGGCTACAAAGTCTACAATTTTTACAATCTGGCTCTTCATAGAAAAAGTTTACCAATCCTTGCTCTTGTCCCTAGATATGGAGTGGCGGGTAGCAGCTGCAGTAAAGTCAGATTTCCGCGCGACATAACTTCTCCTAGCTATGATATTCCTGGTTCTGCAGTGTCCAAGCTTAGTTGTCTAACCTTCTATGAATTTTGTAAGTTACCTAATACCATGCAATCCTTTTGTGCCCAAAACAGCTAGAGTGGTTTCTGTTGCTACAACTAGAAACCCAGAGTAACAGAAGACAAAGGATGAGGCTAAAGTAAAAAAAAAAACCAACAAGTTACTTACATTATGTATCATCTCGAAGTATTTTTGACAGGCTACCTGGTAATGTGTCCCCTTTACTAAATCCAAAATCTAAAATGTACAAGGAGACAGAGAAAGAAAAATTAGAAAGTTTCTTCTGAACCACCGGAGCTCTCAGTTGTTGGCCTTTTCATAATCTTTATTCCAGACAGGAAATGCAATGAATCATGTAGCATGTTGGACTTCTGCAGCCGGGACACTGTGACAATTCTGACATTATACAGTAGTGGTTTAGGTCAGCAGTAAACCACAGATGACAAGAGATTGTAAGTGATCTTTCTGATCTGCCAACTGTGCATTTTAATAACTTTACCTCGACAACAAGATGAAAATAGATCCTGGTATTATGACTTTGACAGTTATTGTCAGAACATCATGTTGTATCATCTCTTCCAAAACTGTAGATATAAATCTAGTAATCAAATGGTTGGCACATGAAGCAATCAAGTATACTATTTAGATTTTTATTTTCCACATTCCTAGTTTATACAGATACAGTATGAAATACTGCTGTATGCCCATCAGGAAAATTTAATGTAAACCTTTTGGACGAGTATCTGTGAAGAGGGAATGCTTTTACCTTCAATCAGATTTGTCCTCTTTGAAATGAAGTTATTTCTAGTAAAGCTCAGCAAAACATGAGAGTGAATAGTCTATTCTGAACACCTATTACGACCATCATCCTATCTTTTGTAAATACAATTTGCTTTCCAATTCTACTTTATGTAATCTCTTCAGAGCGGTGCAAACTCCCATCCTTATCAGCAGAGTGCAATGCCAGTCGAAATTTGTAAAGTTTCATCACCTCCCCCAGCCCCCAAGTAAATAAAACATATATTTGACCTATTTATCAAACGCAGTAAAATGCTGGAATTAAGAGATAACGTCAAATGAATGAAAACAAAATTCTGGGGAAATGTTAATTTCTATCATCCTCCTTTTTTTTTTTTTTTAAAAAAAGGTTGACCTTCCTGTCACAAAAGAAGTGAACATGAAGTCTCAAATTCCTGCTATCCTCATATGAAGATGTGAATACAGCTTCACATCTTTTGACAGATGCACAACAAAATTACAGTTGCAGAACAGACATCATACAATATCAACAAGAATGTGCTTAAAAGATTGTTTTTCTCTGATTGTCTTATAGATTACATTTCTGAATTTCATGTCATCTTTTATTAAATCTTATATGAAAGATCTGTGCAAATGCCAAGCAATCACAGAACCCAGAATCCTGTCTGTCAATATGACTTACCTACTTTTCTTGAATTCTTAGAGCAAAAATGAAAAATAATATTTATTGTCAAAGATGTCCAAGTAATACTAATACTCTGAGCTCACATTCTCTGATGCTTTTACAAATCATCTGTGTTGAGATGAACTTGCAAAGAATGACTGCCAAACATCAATAGTAATAATATATTAATATCTGAAAATCAGAATTTTGGAGAAGAGTTCAAACATAACTCTAAGCTTTAAATAATGCTATAAATTATTTGAAGAGAAAATAGATTCACAGAAATAAAAAAGTCCAACCATGTAAAAAATAAATATGTAACATTATATACATATAATCTAATATTATATTTGAGAAACATGCTATGATGAAATACTTATAAAAACATATTAGTAAAAAGTGCAGTGGGCAATACACACATATGTTAAAAAATTATTAAGGAAAACACATAGCCACAGAATATGAGAAAAGATTTCCTGGAAATTTTAGGTTTCATAAAAAAATTAAATTTAGATTAATCATAAAAAAGTCTGCCGCCACCCAACATCACTCCCACGGAGGGCTCATTTTTTAAACAAAAATAATTTACTTTAAACAAAAATAATTTACTTTTTCTTTTTGCTTTATCTTTTTAAGAAGCATTTTTATTTGAAAATTCCTTCAAATCTATAAATAAGTCATTCAACCATCTATCCTTAAACAACTTTACCAATCATGTTGCAGCAAATTGGAGGTGAAAGTTTCTGTATATATGTAAAGGTGTGATGAGGAAAAATATAACAGGGGTTTGTTTCCCCACCATTGGCTAGAAATGTTACTCAAAGAAAGACACTAGGTTAGGCCTAAGAAGATGAGGTAGCGAAGGACAAAGAATAGCATAATGGAGGGGGCAAAAAAAAAAAGAGCTAATAAGAAATCCAAGAAAAAGACTGTTTAGAAATAAGTAGGTATTATTGGCAGATATATCTTCATTTCAGAGACGAAGAAATATATTCTCTTTATATAGTGGTTGTCTGTCTCATGAGGGTCATTCACTGTGGAAAGAACTTTAAAAATCACATGCAACTTAATGGTCTTGCTTTCTGTAGAAGGAATATAAAACCTCCCATGCCTTTAAAATTAAGATAGAAAACATGAAACATTACTCAAAACAACAACTAATGAAAATATACAGTTTAGCTGGGCTCGGTGGCTCAGCCTGTAATCCCGTGCTTTGGGAGGCTGAGATGAGTGGATTGCCTGAGGCCGCGAGTTTGAGACCCACCCGGGCAGCTTGGAGAGACCTCATCTCTACAATAAATCAGAACATTATCTGGGCATGGTAGAGTGCGCCTGTAGTTCCAGCTACTTGGAAGGCTGAGGGGGAAGGATCACCGGAGCCCAGCAGGTTGAGGCTGTGGTGGCTGGGAGCGTGCCACTGCACTCCAGTCTAGGCGACAGAGTGAGACTCCAACTCAAAAAATACATGTATATATACAGTTTAACTTCAGATTGTGATCTATATTACAGAGATAAATAAAGGAAAAGAAAAAAATACAGAAGTTTTTTGTGAACCAATGAATGAAGTCTGGCTTTTTCTCTGAGTAAAATGGAGAGCTACTTCAATGTTTTATGCAAGGAGTAAAGTGAACTGATTAACCTTTTTAACAGGCTCATTTCTGTCTGCTGTGTTGGGAACCCACTGGAAAGAGCAGGAGTAGGAATAGGAAGCTCATCACAAGAATCCAGGGAACAAATGACGGATCCCTGGACCAGGGTAGTAACATCAGTGGGGGCGAGAGGTGATCAGATTTGTATATAGAGGCATTTCCCATTTAATGGCCATAGACTGTTTCTGAAAATCTGATGTTGTGCATTGAAAACAGTCAGGAGGAACCTGTTCCTAACATCTTAAAACAGGACATGACACACTACTCAACCCTTCCTTCCCCTGAGTGATTTCCTAAATAAAACTTCTAAAACTCAGGAAAATGCCAATATATGAGAAAAAAAAAATCTACCATAGAAAATAAATATAGGCCGGGCTCAGTGGCTCAGTCTGTAATCCCAGCACTTTGGGAGGCTGAGGCCAATAGACTGCCTGAGCCTGCGGGTTTGAGACCCACCTTGGCAACTTGGCGAGACCTCATCTCTACAATAAATCAAAAATTAGCCGGGCATGGTAGTGCATGCCTGTAGTTTCAGTTCCTTGGAAGGCTGAGGTGGAAGAATCACTGGAGCCCAGCAGGTCGAGGCTGCGGTGGCCAGGAGTGTGCCACTGTACTCCAGTCTGGGTGACAGTGTGAGACTCTAACTCAAAAAATAAAAAACTAAAATTAAAATTAAAAATTAAAAAATAAAATAAAATAAATATAAAAATCTGGCCCCTAAACAATGTAATTAACAGATGTTTTTTGTGTAGCAATATTGAGTATGGCACTTCAAGTCTCCCTGGGTATAGTAACCTCTTAGATGCACACCCACTTTGCTGACTTCAAAATTTCCCAAATGATTCTGACATTCTAGCATCTGTATGTGGAATGCAACTTGAGACCTCTTCTGCACTTTGTTTTGTTAATTTTTTTACAGGATGAACATCACCAGTAAGCACTGTATTAGGATACTCTGTAGGTGTCTCTATTTTGAGGGTGCTGATGGATTGGGTAGGAAATACGAAGCTAAAAATCAGGGAAGAGGAAGAATGGAGAGATGAGCAAGACACTAAAACTCAGTTTGTGATATAGAACCAAAATTAAAAACCTAACAAACAAACACCAGTATCCAAGGACAGATGACTGAGGTAGACTCTGTGGAACAGAATTTGGGGTCAAAATCAAAACACTCCACAAGGTGAAGAAGTCAGGATGAAGACATGTCAAGCCACAGTGCTTTTGACAGTGTTTGTTTCCCTGGCACAGCGTCAGAAAGTCCAGGCCTCTGTCCTCACAAGCTGGCCCTTCTTAGAGAGACGACTCCTGAGGCTGGCAGGCCGGGGCTGGCCCAGAGGGCCAGGGAAATACATAACACAGAGGTGGGACTCATCAGAGACAAAAGGAAACAAACAGGGAAAAGAAAGAAATCCAGGGGATACGTGAAATCGCGTCTACAACTTGCTGTTTATGTGGCTTGTAAACATCAAAGTCTAACTAAAACTAAAGCATAGCTCACATAAGATATTTCACTGAGCAATGACACGAACTCTCGCGTTTTGTGTTCCATTCTGGAAGAGCCAGGGCATGTCATGACTTCCTTTTGCATATAGGATTCATACCAAATAATAGTTCTCCAAAGGTCAGAAGAAACCAAATCAAGGCCAGCTCTGATACCTGGGCTAGGTGTCTCCTAATTCTGCTTTAGAAAAATATCAGCAAAGAAAAAATTTCTATGAAGATCTACGTATACTGTTCAAATGGCAGTATGACTTTTAGTTTTTAATGCCAATATTTCCAGACTAAAGTACAAATGTCAAGTGCAACAATCCATTTATTATTCTAAACTAGTTCATCAGTAATCAAAAGACTAAGAAAAAATGAGGAACAGTGATACCAAATTACTGTATTTTGGTAATTCATATTCTTTAAGCTTCTAACTATCCTCTATCAGTTGACTAAAGTCCACCAAGATGAATATTAGATTTTTTTTTTTTTAAATAAAACAATGCAATTGTCTTCTTCACAAAAAAGTTCATATTTGTATTTGCTAAGTGTGGTAAAAGTATTACTTACACTTCATCTACTATTTCATCCTCAAGGTGAACAACTGTTTTGTTTGTTTCTGTAAGAGACTTCGGAATAAAGTGGCTAACCAAGATACCCTTGCAGCTGAAGAGTAAAGA